TTTCCTTGATCTGAGGTATCCACATTTGAGTTTGGGACCAAAATCAAATGAAGCTGCCACTGCTTAGGCAACAGACCCGTATTCCCTTAAGCCTCCACTTTCTGGGAAAAGCAAAGGCTCTCAACCTTGTTGTATTAAAACTTCTTGAAAAGCTTTGAACTGGGCCACCCTCCTGAAAAGTCAGATTGCACCAACCTGGAAACTGTCTGGGCATTAAAGACTTAAAACTCTTACATACATCTTCTAATGTATGACCCAAACAGAAATACTGGTATAGGAAAACCAGTTTTGTTTTACTGGAGCTCTAGTTAAAAACAACCTTCATATTAGCTCTTAAGAAAATTCACTGTTAAGTTTCACTATATTAGAAGGTTTAAATGTGCATTTCTTTTATAGAAAAAACAAACAACGAAAACAATGGGAAAAGTTATCTTGAATAGTACCTGAAAATACAATCAAAGATAAGGAAAGGTAGTCTAGCTTCCTTTTGTCTCTTGACTATAATCGCATGGCATAATAAAGCTCAGAACCCTCTAAAGCATATCAACTGTGGATGAAGTTATCTTAGCCATTCTTCTGGCAGCAAATATAATCATCTATCATTTTCTAGGTGGTCAGATTCATAATTGAGCACATTTCAAGGATAGTTAAGGAATTGTTTTCCTTGTTAGAAATAAGTGGAGAAATTTAGCAACAAAATACAAGTAAACTATAGCTTTTGAGCAAATGGAAAATGGGATTCAAAATATTCAACAGCAATTGTATTAAATCTGTAATTTCTGATACATCCACCAAGTTACTTTTTAATGATGAATCCATACTGTTCTCTCATACCAATAAGGTATATTTTGGTTTTGTGAAAATTATACTTTTTTAAAAAAAAAAAAGTTTGGGCTGGGAAGGTAGCTCAGTGGTAGAGTGCTTGCCTTGCATGCATGACGTCCTGGGTTCAATTCCTTAACACCACATACACAGAAAAAGCAGGAAGTGGTGCTGTAGCTCAAGTGGTAGATTGCTAGCCTTGCTGAAGAGCTGAGGGACAGCTCCCAGGTCCAGAGTTCAGGCCCTAAGACTGACAAAAAAAAGTGCAAGTTTGTATTTCAGGACAATATGTTTGTCTCAGAAATAGGATAAATAGACTGTATCCAAGCTTCGCTGGATCACCTATGTGAAGTTTAAGAGATCATGTGCATGTTCGAATTTATGAGTTCTAAACTAGAGACCAAGTATCATCTGGGATAGTCCATGAAGTTCTTGGGTTCCATGTCCTCTTCAAATCTTAATTTGACATTTTTTGTTCTATTTTTCTACAAATAATCTATAACTTGTATTAGATTCTCAAAGAGTGGATAATAAAAAACAAAAAATAAGGGAGGAGCAAGAGGGAATAGGAGAAAGAGGAGAAGGGAGAGGAGGAGGTAGTGGAGGAGGACCAAAAGGAGGAGGAGGAGAAGGAGGAGATGAAGGGAGAAGAAAAAGGAGGAGGAGATGAAGGAAGAAGAAGAAGGAGGAGGAGGAGGAGGAGGAGGGGGGGAGGAGGAGGAGGAGGAGGAGGAAGAGGAGGAGGAGGAGGAGGAGGAGGAGGAGGAGGAGGAGGAGGAGAAGGAAAGAAGAAGAAGAGGAAGAAGAAGAAGAAGAAGAAGAAGAAGAAGAAGAAGAAGAAGAAGAAGAAGAAGAAGAAGAAGAAGAAGAAGAAGAAGAAGAAGAAGAAGAAGAAGAAGAAGAAGAAGAAGAAGAAGAAGAAGAGAAGAAGAAGGAAGAAGAAAGGAGGAGGAAAAGGAGGAAGAAGAGGAGGAAAAGGAGGAAGAAGAGGAGGGCAGGAGGAGCAGGAGGAAGAGCAGGAGGAGGAGGAAGAAGAGGAAAGAGGTTTGGAGCTCCACACATGTTTAGTCTTGGCCCCTTTACTGCAGTGTATGTGTATTAAGAACAAGACATAAGGGCTGGGAAGGTGGCTCAGTGGTATAGTGCTTGCCTTGCATGCACGAGACCCTGGGTTCAATTCCTCAGCACCCCATAAGCAGAAAAAGCTGGAAGTGGTGCTGTAGCTCAAATGGTAGAGCACTAGCCTTGAGCTGAAGAGCTGAAGTGTCCCGCCCCAGAGTTCAGGCCCCAAGACTGACCAAAACAAAAACAAAACAAAACAAAAACAAAAACAAAAAAAGAACAAAACATGGAAATAAAATCATTGCTCATCACCTGGGCTCCTCTCTGGGCCAGGATTACTGACATGTGTGTGAAATACTGAGAACCATGATGTCCTGTTCAGAACTGATTTGCTATTAAATGAGTACCAGGGACCAGTCAAGATGTTGACATTTGTTTCTTTTGCAGTTGCTTCCTTGCAGTTCCAAGAAGAGTGGCAGTGTTGACAGTTGTAAAAAATGAATAGTGACCATTTTTAGTTTACAGATGGGCACTGCTTTCTGATTGTAAGGAAGGGAATGAATTTGGCATTGTCACATCTAATCTTTGTTATTATGGCTAATTTGATTATATTTGTTTGAGAGTGCAATTGTCAAAGGCTGTAAATTTAGTAAAGGTGTACCTAAACAATCACAGACAACCTAGCAATTTTGGGTGGTTTTGAAATGATAATGTAGACTAATAATTTCCTGAAATTTTTCTTTAAGGAAAATGTTTGCCAAACATTCAAATTTATTCAAGAATGAAAACAATCTATTTCTAACTCAAGAATATGTGGTGCTCAAGTTTTTTCTTGGTAATGTTCATCCTCATGGGAAGGTATAACTTTGTTAAAATAATATTTTAAAATAAGATTTGCATCATTTTAAATGCTGTTACCTTTTCAAGATATTAGAATGGGGGGAATTATGTAGCTAAATTTCCCCTAGTCTAAGAAATATGTTATGTGGTCATTTAATATTCAAGATGAACTGCAAAATACATACACAATATAATAATCATTGTGGGGATTGAAGGAGTAAAAACTTCTGTATTTATTTAGATATGAGGTTAAAATATTTTTATAAGCCAGGCACTGGTGGCATATGCCAATAATCCTAGCTATTAGGAAACTAAGACCTGAGGATTGCAGTCCAAAACCAGCCTAGGCTGTAAAGTACATGAGACTCTTATCTCCAATTAACAACTTCCCCCTCCCCAACCACCCCAAAAAGTCAGAAGTGGAGCTGTGGCTAAAGTGTTAAGGTGGGATAGCAAAAAATGCTCAGGAGCCAGGCTCTAGTGGTTCATGCTTGTAAACCTATCTACTTGGGAGGCTGATATCTGTGGATCATAGTTCAAAGCCAGCCCCAGACAGCAAAGTTCATGAGACTCTTTATGTCCAATAAATATTCAGAAAAAGGCAGATGTGGTGCTGTGGCTCAAGTGGTAGAGTGCTAGCCTTGAGAAAGAAAGGATCTTAGGGACAGTGCCCAGGCCCTGAGTTCAAGCCCTAGGACTAGCATTATATGTGTGTGTGTGTGTGTGTGTGTGTAGATACATATTTACCTATATTTATATATACTTATATATATACTTTTACATATACTTCTTAAAATTGAACAAATTGTTTAATTTTAATTATTCAGCAAAATTCAAGCGTCATTTTCATATTGTAAACATAGAAGAACCTATTTTAAAATTGATATTGAGGGTAAATTTAATCAAAGCACACCATATGTATGCAAGAAAATGTCACAATAAAACTCCTTTGTACAGCTAGTATACACTAATAGAAAGCATTGAAATGACATTGGAGTCATTGAATTTGAGTAACTAGACAATCTAAAAGTTAGGTTTTGATTTTCTAGTCTTTTGATTGATCCACAGAGATAGCCTGAGTAGAAATAACAGTGTCTCATCTTACCCTTTGAGAACATTCCAGTGACTTAAGCTTAATAATGATACTACTACTATATGATTTCTTGTGTTGTTGTCAAAAACATAGTTACAGTGTCCTTCTGATCACCTTTAAATAAAGCAAAAGCAAGTGCATTTGTTATGTGCTAATAATTTTTGAAAGATTTACACCTTTAAAATGTGATTAATTTTCTCCATTGTAGAGTTTTATGTCTTCAGTGACAAAAATGAAAGCACCTTAATTCAAGTTATCTCTTTCCAAATTAAAAATGAACACAACTGACTATAAAACTCATAGAAATTGGATATATCTTCAGGAATAAGATTAAGCATACAACACAAGGTGATATCCTCACTTATGGAAGAATGTAAGTTAAAAAAATGATCACAAGGTCTGGGAAGGTGGATCAGTGTAGAGTGCTTGCCTTGCATGCCTGAGGCCCTGGGTTCGATTCCTCAGCACCACATAAGCAAAAAGAAAAAAGCTGGAAGCGGTGCTGTGGCTCAAGTGGTAGAGCGCTAGCCTTGAGCTGAAGAGCTGAGGGACAGAGCCCAGGCCCAGAGTTCAGGCCCCACAACCGGACCCCCCCCCCAAAAAAAATGATCACAATGGTATTTTAATCCACATTAAATTTATCTAATATTTTTATATCACTCTCACTTTAAGATCTTTGCTAGTGAAATGTCCAAATAAAATTCCCATTAATAGCCTTGAGTGATACCTAGTAGAATATAAACTATATCTTATCATTCAAACATTAAGAAGAGACTCTAACCCTTTTATATTTCCAAAGCAATCCAGATTGTTTATTTAGTCTCAAATATTTTTCAAAAGTAACTATTACGCTACTTGTCTTAATCTTGGCTGCTATTTTGTAGGGGTGCTATACTGGCCCATTCTTTGAAACAACATATAGAATTCTAACAAGGCACATATCAACTAAGCTTTAGATTGGAGCCAGCCCTGGAATCTATGTCTCAAATGATCCTGTCCTAATCTCTTCAGCTTGAGGAGAACCTCAGAGAGTGTAACAGAACAACAACAACAACAAAAGCTTGGATGTCAGGTTCTATCAGAGCCCAACTACCTTCCCATTCTGGGAACAAAAGAGGTAAAGGGATTAGTACAGCCTTCAGGTAGTAGCTACCAATGCTAAAAATGAATGAACTCTATCGGATAGTTTCCTAATGATAAGCGTCCTGAGGGGCACCTGAGATCTTGGCTTGCTAGTGGTAGCCACACAGGGCGGTGAGGCTCAGCTGGTCATCACTAGGTGAGGAAAGGTCCAGGTCACTATAGATTTGAGTGAGAGCCAAGCTCAGGATTTCTTTTTTTTCCTTGTAAAACCGTAGCTCTTGTCCAGCCTTCCTGGCTTCCTCCAGCTGCCTCAGGGCCATTCGTAGCTCTTGAGAGAGGATTCCTGGGGACTCTCGTTCCTTCATTATCCAGTCTAGGGCCATATGGCTTCGCATCTTCTCATCTAAAGAATACTGGGAATAATAGGAGATGACTTCCTAGAAGCAGAAGTTCAGAGTATCAGTAAATGAAGGCAAACATGGACATGACCTTTCATAAATTACTCCCACTGCCAGACACACACACAATCATGGTTTTATTTTTTTCCCCAACAACTCTTGATATTAATAAATGCAAACAATATCTAGTTGACATACATTTTTCTCCAAAGAAATCAGGGGTTGATCTCATTCAACTATGCAAGTCATCCAAGTTTGAATCAAAACACACTCTAGGGCTGGGAGCATGTTCCAAGTAGTATAGTGCCTGCCTAGAAAGCGTGAAGCCCTTAATTCAAGCCCTATTAGGGTCTAACAACAAAAACAAAAATATGCTACTAGGAATGATGACACTGTTGACAAACAAAGCTCTAACATCTCTCAAAAATGCAAGCCCTAAAAAAATACATTCCAATGAAAATTGTTGTGATTATTACCTCATTTAATCATGGGACCCTTCTGCTTATCACTATTTCCTTTGATAAGACAGAAGGAAATAGATTGATTTGGCAGAACATGCATTGGTCACATCTACTGCAAAAATGGGAAGTATTTAGTAGGAAACAGGACCACCAACTGCCCATTTGGTTGCTGTGACCGTTAGAAAGATGACAGCCCAGATGGCTCATAGTAACTCCAGAGAGAAATGTAAGAATCTGTTATGGAATGTAGACATCATCATTATCTATATCATCATGATACCTCCATGATACATGTGTCTCGTTGTGAGCAATTAAAACTTAGCCTCTACCTTCCATTCTATGAAAAAAAATGTCAATACATCATACTGTCATGTGTATGTTTGGTCATGTGGAGTGGATACATTGCTTATTTTTATTTTCAAGAACATATGGTATTTATTTATGACCTTAACAAATTAAAAACAATCATGGAAAAGTGTTTATAACCAATCCAACATATTTCAAAGGGCTTTTGTAAAATCAAAGCAAGGGGAAAAAATAGCCCAAACCATTGTCAGCTACTCATTTCTTTTCCATAGTTGACATTTTGAAAGCCATATTTTCTATGCAAAGAACAACTAAAAACTCCTGGGGGCTGCCCTGTGTGGAAAACGCTTCCATTTACCTTCCTCTCGCTGCCTAAGCCAGGGGTGGTTCCCCCACTCAAATGCTTATTAGAAAGTTCTCAGAAATAAACTGCCATCTTTCAAGTTCTAATCGCAGGTCAAAACAGGATAAAGCCCAGAGGACAACAGGTGGAAACCATTAAGTACATAGGAGAGACATATTTGTTATTACAAGGAGGGGAGGGAGCATCTCATATGTAATAAAGAAATAAGTGAGACTCTGTCTCTGAAAAATAAAGAAGAAATTTCTAAACCATAAAATTGAGGTGACTGAATGCTAGTGTGTTCAAGTTTACAAAGGTTTCTGTTGTTCGCTGGGGACTTCTGGTGGAGTGGAAAATATGATTCTGCTACAGCCAGCTTTGCCTGTCTTCTCGGAGCTTTCAGAAGCAGTGAATTTTCAACTTGCCTTCTGTGTTTTGAGGTATAAGAAGGTCCCAGACCCAAATTAGGCAGGTCAGATGCTCAATGAAGGTTCTGGGTTAATGATGGCTCCATTCTATACTCAATATAGGCTTATGAATCAATCCTGTGTCTAACTAACATTTGTGTTTATGTATTTGGTTGTTCTCTGACTCATACGCATTGCTAGGTGCATTTCTTCATGTGCTCTGTGCTCTTACTCAAAAACTATAACATGCAATTGTGTGTGTGTGTGTGTGTGTGTGTGTGTGTGTGTGTGTGTGTGTGTGTGTGAAAATGGTACTAAGAAAATAGACGGGATGTTTGGGGTTGAGAAAGATGGGAGAGAATTGTGAAAAGGATGGCATTAATTGAGATACATTGTGCTCATAAAATGACATGTTAAATTGAAAACCCTTTGCACATCTATTTAAAGATAATAATAATAAGTATAAAATTTAAACAAAAGTAGCTACATAAAGAAAATCTCCTAAATATGATAAACCATCTGTTTAGTTCACACACACTAACCTGTCTTAATTGGAAAAAATCTTACCTGTCGAGAACACTTTGTTTCACGAAGGGCTTTTAGACTCCCATTCCAGTGCAATAGCTGGAAAATGGTCATCAGTTCCTACAAAACCCAAACATAGATCATTGGTCTTAAAGAAATGTCAGTGGGAGACAAGCAGCTCATAATTCTGATAAACAACATTGTTAGAACAAATACTATGGGACTTTTGACCAAACAGATTACCTAGGCCCTGGGATAATTAATCCTTCACTCCCTTGCTTTACGTGCTTGCATAATGAGATGGCTAAAGATCCACATTAAAAATACATTTACTCCAATAATTGTTCACCCAAGAAATCACCTAAATATATTAGCACTTCAGAGAAATAGATAGGCAAGTTTTTACATTATGTTATTTTTGAGATTGCCAGAGACTGGAAATAATTTACTTGTTCATTCTTTGAAAAATGCTTAAGTAAAATATGCAAATATGATATATCCATGCCATTGAATATATCATATTTATAAAGGATAAAAACTCATTATAGGTTCTAATGTAAAATCTTTTGTGATATGTTATTAAAATAAAAGCAACATACAACAATGTATACTTTGTGATATTAAAAAAAAACGATGGAAGACCTCCTTATACCTATTGGTTTATCAATGCCAACCATAGTTCTTTGATGGGAAGGGATAAAAAGGGGAAACAAAGGAGGAGGCTACAATGCTTGATAAGAAATGTACTCATTATCTTGCCCATGTAATTGTAACCCTTCCGTACAGTATTTTCACAATAAAAAATAAATAAATAAAAATTAAAAATTAAAAAAAAAGAAACAGTTCTGATTCTTCTCACCTATAACCCTAGCTACTTAGAAGGCTGAGATGTAAGGGTCGTAGTTTAAATCCAGGCTGGACAGGAAAGTCTGCGAAAGTCTTATCTTCAATCAACCACCAAAGATCATTTTTCAACATAACGGCTTGTACATCTCATTGTTGCAATGAGTCCACCTGTATCCCTGTTTAAATGGTTTGTTTTTGCCCTTCCCTTCCACAAATTATACCAGTATCAAATACAGTGAGAGCAGGGGTTGTACCGTGGGGGAGGGACATACAAAGCAACAAAGAAATTATCTTATAAATATGTTAGAAACAATCGCAAGAAAGAAAAAAAACATTTGAATACTTATCTTGGGGTTCATTTCACCTAACATCAACTTATCTGACCTTTTCTGCTTGTCTCAGACATATACTAGTTATTGCAAATAAGGGAAACCATGGGACCTATGTTTCTTTGGGCCTGGCTTACTTCACTTAATATAATTTTTACTTTGGCCCGGTGGGGGGTGGGAGGGAGATGGGAAGGGATGGGAAGAGGAAACAAAGGAGGAGGCAACAATACTTGATAAGAAATGTACTCATTATCTTGCCCATGTAATTGTAACCCTTCTGTATGGTATTTTCACAATAAAAAATTAAAAAAAATTAACCACCAAAGAAACAGAGGTAGATCTCTGGCTCAAACTGGTAAAGCACTGGTCTTGAGCAAAAGAACAGCTCAGGGACTGAACACTGAACATCCAGGCTCTGTGTTCAAGCTCCATGACTGACAAAAAAAAAAAAATACAAAAGAATTTGATAAGGTGCTGTGGGTATGACTCAGTTGTATAACATGTGCTTATCATGTACAAAGTCCTAGGTTCCATCCCCAGCACCTGAATAAATGGAATGAATAAATAAATAAATACTAAAATAAAAACAGAAAGAATATGATGAAAACATTAGTCAAATAAATGTCTAAGGGACAAGAGTAGGAAGGATTCCTTCCTCCCACAGAAAATTCTTTGAGATTTTTGTTTTTGTTTTGAGTTGTTGTTGCTATTTCTTTGTTGCTTTTGTCTTTCTTCTTGTTTTCGTTGGTATTGTAATTTGAACTCAGGGTCTCACACTTGCTCAGTTGTCATTCTACTACTGTAGCCACACCTCTAGCTGGTTATTTCAGGAATGGAGTCTCACTGACTTTTCTGCCTGGGCTGGCTGGAAACCATGATCCATCCTTTGGATCTCATTCTTTTGAGTAGTTAGGATTACAGGAATGAGCCAACAGCACCCAGCTTAACCCTTTGAATTTTGAATTGTATGACTATATCACATATGAAAGGAAATGGTTTTTTTGTTTTTTTTTTTTTGGTTGGTCATGGGGCTTGAACTCTGGGCTTGGTGGCTTAAGTTTTTAAGAATTTAAATCTGTATACATAATAATATGCAAATATTGTTAGAATTTTATAGGCCATTGGTCTGGGCTGAATTCCTGTACTCAACCCAGTCAGGCTAAGGTTCCTTGTCTCCAAACTGAAACTAAGTTGTTTATCTAACCTTCCCAGACACCAAGAGAGGGAAGAAGGGGGAATGAGGTAAATAGCCAAATCCCCAGTTTTAGCCAATGTGATAAAGGATTCCCCTCTTGCTTTCTATTTAATCTTTACAAGGAAAATAACCTTGAAACGACTGATCCGTTTGGGGCTCTGTTTCTGCTTTCTTAGCTCTTTTCTCTCCATGAGTCTAACCTCCTCTTATCAGCTCATAAGGACACGAAGTCTAATTTTTGGAATGAAAGCTTGTCTGATCCTAGAATCACAAATGAAATTTTATTTTGTATTTTGGCAATATAAAATGCCTAAATCTATGTTACATCAAGAAGTATTCCCTAAAGGATACTACAGAAATTAAAACATCATCTAAATCTATAAGTTCCAGCTAGAAGTATTCCCTAAAATAGGGAGCATAAGGTAATATGTGCCTTAAAATACATTGTTTCCTACCCAACACCAGCACAGTAGTGCACCTAGGAACTTTATGTTTCTTTTCCCTACTTGATAGTAATATCAATCCCAGGTGTATTAACATACCAAAAATTGTATTTTACTAATGTGGGCATTTATTAATGTGGGCATACTAATGTTCCATTGAAATTATCTGTGTTTCAGTAGCAGAAGGATTTTTTTTCTTTATTTTTGTCAGAGAGACATCTATTATGGATGAACAGTATAAACCACAACCATGTAATTATTGGAAAAGAAGTCAATACAATTAAGAAACTTCCTGCTCATAAAAAGAGTTGTGAAAGCTTAGCATTTAGACAGATGTCCCTCTGCTCACTCACAAAAACAGTCTTTTATTAACAGTCTCCTTAAGTTTGCTCAGGGGACATGTTTTCATTAGGAAAATAAAGAAATGTGTAGTCTTAGATTGCTGATATTTTACAAATTATTGGTAAATAATAGAGCTATTAGATTATCAGGACAGCAAATGATACTATCTAAAATTCTTATTACAAATAAGTGGTTTTTGTTTTCAGTCTGAGATACAGCTTGACTTTTTTCTGTGTTTTATTGCATCCCAGCAGCTCCCAGATCCCTCAGTAAAAGTTTCCATTCATTGAAATATAACATGAATATCAGCCGTTTCTCCTCTTGCCTAGAACAGAGAAGTCTGCCTATGGTCTTGGATCTAATGCCCGGGGAAGGGTCTTCTTGTAGCCAGATTTTTACTCCATCCAGATTTTTACTCCATCTCATCACTACACTGGAGGAGAAAGGAAAGAGCCTTTTATTCTATAGACCAAATCTTGCTTAATTAGGGTTTTCCCAAAGTAGCCCCAAGTTGCTCAGAAGAATACATTCTTGCTATCTCACCACACCCCTCCAATCCAGTCATCCAATATTTTGTAGCCAGAGAATTAACATGAATTCTGTATGCTCTGATATGAAACAGGGTCTCATATACAATGTATAATCTAATGATATGATAGAACACAAATATTTGCAAAGAAGAAATATCTCTTGGTTTCATGTTTTATAAGAATCTACTTGAAGTTAGGTATTGGTGTCTCATGCCTTTAATCCTAGCTATTCAGGAGACTCAGATCTGAGGTTGTGGTTTGAAGCCCACCTGGGCAGGAAATCCTTTGAGACTCATTTCCAATTAACCAACAACAACAAGAACAAAAAGTAAAAGCCAAAATTGGAGCTGTGGCTCCAGTAAAGAATCAACCTGGAGTGAAAAAAACTGAAGGACAGGGTACAGACCCTGAGTTCAAGCTCCAGTACTGGCCCACACACAAAAGAAAATCTACTTGCATTTTGTATTTATTTTGTTTGTCAATGTTTTAATAAAGAAAGAAATGCCACCCTCTTCTCCAACTGATCCCTCACCTACCCTAAATCTTTTGCTTGCATATTTTGAGGTACAAATGTTGGAAGCCAGGGTATTACATATGCTAGGCAAGCCTTCTCTCACTGAGCTACACCTTCTATGTTAAGATAGCAATCAGATATACTGGACTTATTTATGGTTTCCAATATCCATCTTGACATAGACCTGACATTGTTGATGCTCAGTTTGAGAAACACCATACAGCAAACACAGCTTAACTTCTATCTTCTTCCAGGGTCTTCTGATTTCTCATTCTTATCTATATACCATCAGCTGCCTCTTACAGATGTACTGCTGTCATTCCATCTTGTAATTCCCCAAAGACTTTAGAATCCATGATTAGCCAATGAATACCACCAGAAACCTTTCTCATGCCCCCTAGCAGCCTTGAGCACTCAAAAATTTCCCCAAAGAGGTATGAACTATTTTGCCTCTGGGAGAAAGTTCAGCTATATCTCCCCTCTGGTTTGTCTAAATCATTCTAGTATTCTATTAATACCAAGCAGCTTTTTTTTTTTCCATTGGCCCAAGGATCCCTTCCTCAGTGTTGCTCAGGTCCTCAAAATCCTCAAGTAAAGATGGCTCTCTTCTCATCTTTTACATTATCATACCCTTATCTCTTTTTTTTTGCCTTCTATGGAGATATTAATCCCATCATAATTACATCATTAAAGGATGGTTCAGCGTTTCTGTGTGCTTTTGGTCCCAGTGCTTCATTTCCTCTCATAAGACCAAATTCTTCCCCAATCTGTCTGAGTTAGTTCTCATCCCCAGGAAATCCTTACATCCCTCTGTCTCATTCCACTGAAAATCCTGACTTCCTGCTGGCTGACATATGGGCAGGGCTATGACGTGGGCACTTCTGCGGGAATCACTTCCTAGTTTCACTGTGATTTCTCCCGGCTTCGTTTTTACCATCCTCCTTGCTCCTTGGAGAAGCCTTGTCACTCTTTAGGAAGTTAATGTTGTCTGTGGCCTAATCTAGAAGCTTGGGATTCCTGGATGGACTGACCCGGAAAGTGAGGCACTGGCATGTTTAGAGTGAGGGAGTGAGGCATGACTTAAGCTGAGTGAGGTGATTCATGCACATTTCAGGATATTTTGCTTCTCACAACCTTCCTTCCTTCCTTCCTTCCTTCCTTCCTTCCTTCCTTCCTTCCTTCCTTCCTTCCTTCCTTCCTTCCTTCCTTCCTTCCTTCCTTCCATTTTGCACTTGGGGAATTGCACTATGATACTTTCTGTCTTGATCTCTGAATTCTTTTTTCTTATCTTTTCTTTCATTTTATTTTTTGCCAGTCCTAGGGCTTGAACTCAGGGCCTGGGCACGGTCCCTGAACTTCTTTTGCTCAAGGCTAGCTCTACCACTTTGAGCTACAGTGCCATTTCCTTGATCACTAAGTTTCTTAGTGTGCCTTTCAGTTGTGTGCAAGTGACAAATGTCTCACTTTCATAACTCTAATCCTGGCCTTTCCTCTGCCTGTCTTCTCCTGGGCCCTTCTGGGTGTGTCCCAGGATTAAGCCTGGCTTCATAAATTTGAGGTCTATGCAGCCACATAGATCTCTGCCATTGGTGTGATATCCTACTCTCTTAAAAAATTCTTACTAGGTTTCAAACAAAGGTCCCTGTATTTTTTTATTTTTCCCTGGATCCCTTAAAATTATTTAGCTTATCTTGAACAACAAAGGGAATTTTAAACTGGATGGAGAATAAAGCAGATTGTTTTCTTTCCTTTTTTAGAGAAAATTGCAACTGGAGTTCCTATTCCACAGCTTTCCTGGTTCATTTTGTCATTTATTCCATTGAAACTGGCCACAACTGGGCTCTGTCCTCACAGCTCTGCCTGGCATTGCCTCTTGGTAGACATAATGGCTTTCCTGCTACTTTGTAGGGGAGAAAATGCTCACTGCTTCTCTCTGCAGCTTTGTCTAGGAGGCTGGCCTGGTTCTGCGATTCATCAGAAATAAGACAAACAAACACTGTAAATGGAGAACTTGGAAAACAGGTGGGTACCATCTCTCCACCCAAGAGAATGGATTTAAGAGGAAATTTGTTTATGGGATAAGGTTTTAAATGGCGACCTGGAGAATTTAGCAAAGATGTAAATAAACAACGCGTCCTTGGATTGCATTAGGCTTTAGGGTAAATATATTAACCAGCCTCAGCCCAACTCTGCCTAGATTCTGACCTTGACAAGACCCAGCGCCTATTGCTGATCCCATCCCTCCCCCCAAACAGCAGGCAGTTCTCTCTGGCAACGGTGCCTCAGACAGGCAGCGGCTTCCCTCCCAAGAAGGGAAGGTAAGCAGCAGCCTATCATGTTTCCTCAGAAAGCTGGCTGCAGGACGGCCCCCCTGAAAGCCTGAGGGCTGGCAGGAGACACCGTCTTGTTTTTCTACCTCGGAGTCATCCATCCCTGGATCCAAACACATGTCGATGACCCACCAGGGGGACTGAATTGCTGTGTCTCTGCAAACACAGCCCAGGCCCACGGTCACCTCCCATTATGTGAAGACACAGGCTGAGGCCTTTAGCCCAGGCCTTTAAAGGAACTAAGCCCCAGCAGGCAGGCGGAAGGAAAAGGAAATGGTCCTAGGCCTTCCTCCTGGGTTACCAGTACCCCTCCTGCAGGGATTTTTTTCCTACCCTCCCATCCTCCCCTTTCTTTGTTCTGTCCCTGGTATTCAGCCTCCCTTTTGGGACTTTATGAAGCATTTCCATAGTACCGTTGAACGATTATTTCATTTATTTAAATACCTTACAACACAGACCACACACAGCCCTAAAGAAGGCAATTAAAGTGTAAGCAAGGCGAGGTTGACTGTAGAGCCTTTCATGGAATTCCAAAGAACATGAATGGAATTTAAAGGAAAGAAAAGTTTTCTCACCTGCTTCATCTTTGGCAGACTGCACCAATGACATTCAAAATCACTCATAACTTTACTGAGAAAAGCTATTATAGACATCCCAGCTATTGTGTGCTGGGGCAGACTTCCTTCTATAGTGAAAGAAGCACAATATTCTTTTAATGGAGCGTAAAAGGAGGCATTAAATGATTTTTTTTCTTTCTTATGAGAGGGACTAGGCTACATGCTTTAGAAAATGTTACATTTTTCAGTCCTATGATATGTCACTGTTATTTCTATTTTGTGGAGGACCTGAATCTCTGAATGAATAAGCTCTTGGATGGCAAGTGACAGATAAACATCACTTGTAGTTCTGTAGGATTTTTACACACATGTTATTACTTGTGTGACATTATCCTCTTTCATTATTCTTTATCTGTTCGGTTTTAGACTGTGTGTGTTGGGGGGATAAACTGTTAATATATTTCCACCCTTTTATTCCACAGCAGAGGGTTGAGCATTTTGGTAAGAGCTAGCTCCCTTATCCTCCTCTGAAGCTTCTAGTTTCATGAAAGCTGTCCCAGAAATGAGCTAGAATGCCCTGGCATTTCAAGTATAAAGCAATTCTTCAGAAATACACAGAACAATCATCGTTAACCTTCATGAAGCATTTTCTATATGCTGGGTACTGACCAACCCTCTTCTTGTAGTATCCCACTTATTCACACTAGCACTCTGAGGCAGTACCATTATTTCCCTAAATTTGACACGGCAATGAGGAAACAGATTTAAATGTAAGGAACAGAGTGAGGGTAAAAGTAGCCAGTCCATCTGACTGCCTGGGCTAGAACTGCTGAGCTCACATAAGCCCTCTTCCAACTCAGAGGACAGTGAATCCTTAAGGATACCTGGTTACTCTCAACCCAAGTCAGGCTGTCTGAGCGGTCCATCAGATCATAGTCACTTAGGAAGAAATTGTCTACCCAAAGGTTAAAGAAGGGACGAAAGCACTTATGCTTCAATCCTATGTGCAGCTGATAAAGACAGATAGCCACATGAGAAATCACCATGCCATTAGCCAGAAAAAGATTTCAAAGGTAACAAAAAGGTACTTAAAAGTTGGCTTCGAGCCTCAGCTGTAACTCCATAGTAAACTACATGATAAACAGGTTTGGGGACTCTTTTTTTCATGAAATTTTATATCTCTGATTGCTTCTTGGATCTAATGCCATAATCTCTGATTACTTCTTGGAATTTAACCAAAGAAAATAGAATTACTTGGGGATAAAGCCCCTTGGTTAACCCACTCCATATTGATTTCTACAGCATTCCATGTTACTCAACTTCTTTCAAGCTTAGTTGTTTAGAAGGGCATAGAGGGCATACACTTCCTGCCCAATCACTATTTTCCCCCCAATCACTATTGAATGTTTATATACCCAGCCCTGCACTGGGTAGGAATCAGGTGTATGAGGTCAAAGGTCAGACTACCTGGGTCAGAAGCTTGAGCAATGACAAACTTCCTTCAATAACAGTAACAATATGTATTGTTGTAATGATTAAATTATAATAATGCTTGTTAAGAGCATTATGAAGCAATGTACTATGCCAGATGAAGAAAGCATCCAATAAGCAGTAGCTATTAATATGCTTGCTATTGTTATTAATGTAACAATTTGTTTTGTAAATACATATTTATGATTGGGTTATGTCCCAGTAAACGCACTGTATGCTGAAAAATATCAAGTCAAATACTTAAGACATAGGCATATGATGGAAAGGTGAATTTGCTCAAAGTAAACTATGTGCATATATGAAAACACGACAATGAAATCCTCTCATTACAAAAGTATGCTAATTTAAAACAAAGTAAGTAAATAAAGAAAAAATTACATTTAATATACCTAATCTACTTAATGTTATAGTTTCGCTAAGCATACTTTAAACATTCCCAGAATGCATACATCGGCTTACAGTCATGCAAAACACCTTGCACAAAGTCTACTTTATAATAAGGTATTGAATCCCTCATGAAATTTATTGAGTATTGAATTAATGCCCACATAGGTATGCTTTTGCACCATTGTAAAGTTAAAATATAAATTGGAGCCATCTGTAGTAGGTAAATGTAGCTCTTCAGCTTTGCTATTGCTTGTCAGCAGTAGTCTGAAAGGTTATGGGTTGCTAATTTTTTTATTTGGTTGTTGATAGGGGAAAGCAGATCTCTTAATAAATATATCAGAACTGAAGGGCCATTATTCAGTGAATGCTTCAGGAGCCCCATCTATGAATTCTGAAAATTAAGAGCCAGTTGGTCACAAGGTAGACTTCAAATTTTTTATTTTGTTTAAAAAGGAACTTTGTAATAAAAATCTGATGAATTATGACAGGGTCATAAGATGTGATTGTTAAGTCTTCTACTTTCCTTCATCATAACATAGACTAAGTCTTGTTTGTTTTAGTTTACTGAACTATGCCTAAACTGGGGCTGCTACACTCAGTTCTGGGATGGTGAAACTTAAAAGTAGATTATTGGAGAGATATTTAGTAAAATGATTTGCAGTTCAGCACCAGTGGCTCACCCCTGTAATCCTACTCAAGAGGCTGAGATCTGAGGATCATGGTTTGAAGCCAGCTCAGGGAGGAAAGTCTATGAGGCTCTCATCTCCAATAAGCTACTCAGAAAAAGCAGAAGTGGTGTTGTGTCTCAAGTGGTAGAGCACTATCCTTGAGTACAGAGAGGCTCAGGGACAGACCTTATGCCCTGAGTTCAAGCCCCAAGACCAGCAAAACAAAGAAGGAGGAGGAGGAGGAAGTCAGATACCTGAAACTCCAGCATGGTCTTCCCCATGTTTGACTCCAACATGTAGTGATAGGCACCGACACTTGTGCTGGGGTCATCTGCATCATCTAATGTACCCTTGAAACAGAGAACAGAAAAAGAAAATGTTGCTGATTTCTCTTCTCCTTCTTGGAAAGATCAGGTATTAATCCTATTGCTGGCTTAAGCCCAGAGCAGATATTGAATCTACAACCAAGTTTCCAGTTGGTCTGGGATAAAATTGTTCACTGTGATTTATGGGGTTTCACAGTCTATTTGAATCTGTCTTTTGATTGGAATGTTAACTGATCATATACTTGATAGAATAATTATCTCAAAGCAGAAATCTCTGTGTTTTTGGTGGTTTTGATGGTTGAGGCATTAACGTTTGTGTGGTTGCCGTCGTTGCTTATGGAAATCTTGAAACAGTTACCTTGCTCTGATTTTGGTAATAAGCAGGCAATATGATGTAACTGAAATGGAAAGAATTCTCAATTGTATGGACTGTTCATATTCTACTGCTGTGATTCTTAATGGGCAACCTTTCCTAGCATGCTAGTGTTGGCCTATAGTCATGGATCTTTGTTTGCATTTCTATACTCTTAAACCACTTAGGAAACAAGGTGGGTGAGTGACAGGTAAAAATAAAATTTCCCTGCCTTTTGTTATAGGGAGTGGGGCTAAGAAGCTAACACGGGTCTGGATGGTATTTGGGCTTTGTTCAATATCCCATGGTCTTGGATTCCCAGGAAGCAGGGCAATAGCAACTTTGTGAGACTGAAGAAACAACTGCCAGCATCAGATAGCAGTGGATTTATAGCTTTCAAATGCAATAACATTAACACACCGCTGCTGGAATATTTATGTTGGCTTTTTAAATATCCCAGAGGAAATCCTTGCAGAAGCCTGCAGGCTATATATATATTCTCTTTCTTTAGAATTCTCCATGAGAAAAAATGATAAATTACATTTACACTGAGGACCCTTCCCTGCTCCTGAGTAAATTCCACACTTATATAAATCAGGCATCATTTTCCAAACTTCTCTTCCTCAAAGGCACTTGAAATTTACAGAGCTGGAAAATAAAGGCTTCCTTTCATCCTCACACCAGATACAGAGCAGAGCTTTCTACTTTCTCCCTGCCAGACCAGTCATTCTTCTCCTGCCCCTTCCCAATCTCCTCTCCAATAGATAAAAGCATTTATAAGTGGGAAATGGTCACTGATAGTCTGATATTGCTCCTTCTTTTATCAGCAGCTGCTCCAGAATAATAGAACATTTCTAGCCAAATTAAGCAAAAACGAAGAAGGAAAGATTCAGATCAAGTTTATGAATGTTAAAGGCAAGCCGGAGGTGGCCACTGGCTTTGATAATGGCAAGTTCCTGCCCTTGAACCCACATACACAGAGAAACACCTGTCACAGGTAGAGGCCCAAGGTTTCCTTTGTGATGGTCATGGGAATCAGGGGCACCCCATTACTTACGGGAGTAAATAAAGAATCTAGTGCTAGATGACTAGGGAAATGCATCATTTACATTTCTAAGACGGGATTTTTTGTTGTTTTTGAAGCAGCACACACATACACATATAAACACACACAAGCATGCATGAGTGCTTTCACATAAATCAAGATGGATCAAATCATCTATCAAGACTTAGAGCTTGATTAATTGTGATCCAGTGAGATGAAGAATATGACTGAGTTGTAGAATTAGGAGTCAGTTCAAATTTTATGATTTCCAACTCAACCATTCTTTTTTTTTTCTCCTGAAAAGTGACCTACACCAGTTTAAAGATAAGAGTTTGCTCACTGTAGCATCCCACTTTTCAAATGGCTCAGGGCTCTCACCGCGGTTGGCTCCTTCCTCCCCTCGCAGATACTCACGCTGGTGGAGGCCACTGCTTCCTGAACACTTTCCATAATGAATTCCTTGGTGATCCTGCGAGAGGGCAGCTCATTGAAGAGGGAGTTGATTAGGGCCACTTTCGCTGCATCTCGTCTGGCCTCAGCTCTACTTAAGCAGCACTTTAGAAGGTAAGGTGAAAATGAATCATTAAAGAATTCGTAATCTCAGCATTTCCTGCTTACATCAATGAATCTCTGGACAGTTCCATTCATAGTTTTACTGTCATGCTCACTGTTAATTTCCCTTGAAGATCATATAGACTTTCTCTCCCAGCTATGGAGCTCGTTCAAATATCTTGGTTACCTTCAATTGTTTTTTGTCTTATTTCATAGTCATGAAATGCCCTCTATGAGCAGAGGCTTCACATATTATATTAATAAGGAATAATAAAAGTAATAATGCCTACCATTGTAGGCTAGTTGATTTACATTCTTTACCTGGACTTTACTCAGATCTTCACTTTAGAGGGAAAAAGTAAGAAAAGGAGAAAACCAGAGAAACTAGAAATAGTTGTACCAATAATTAAGAGAACACGAGAACTGGAGTGAGGCTGCTAGCGTCAAGTCCCAGGTCTAGCAATTTCCTAGCTGTAAGATCTTCAACAATTGAATTAGTCTCTGTTTGCCTCAATTTCCTCTTCAGTAAAATGGAAATAACAGGGTTAAAGTCAAGACCAATTGGTTAATTCCCATACAGCACTAGAATAGCTGCTGATGGCAGCTATATACATGAAGCTAGATATTTTTACCTGAGTTTAGAACAGGAGTCTTGCTGCTCCGATCCACTGTTTTTGACTTTCCAACATTCACTGCCCCCCTCCCCTTCCTTCTAGTAACTGTGCCCTGATTTTTTTTTTTAGGAATACCCACCCTTTCTCTTTTGCTCCTAATCTATGCAGTTTGCTTGAGACAAACTCCATTAGGCCTTCCCAGCGTGAGAGGCTGCAGAAAACCCATGAATGGTAAAACATATTAAAATATTTCCATTTCTAAATGTAATCTTGCTTCCCATCCTCTTTGCCTGTCTTCCTCATCTGCCTGCAAGCCCCATAGTTTTCTGTCTTCTCTGACTCTCTAAGAGCTAATAATTGCCATTCTACTCTACAAGTTCACATTTGGTGTGAATCTTTGAGTTCCAGAATGAAAGTGCTGAAGCCCTATGAGAACTGTGCTGAGCCCACACAATTAGAGTATGGTGGTATGGTGACAATTTCAGGAGACTTCCAGAATTCATAGAAGAAAACCCGTCCCAGGGAAAATAAAGCCCAGGCTCAGGACTGATGAATGGGGTAGCCAGGAAACCATGGGTCCACCACTCACTGGCTGTGAAACCTAAGCTACCTGCACTATAGGGACTAATTTTCTCATCCAAGGCCTCTACTTCCTAGAATAGATGATTTTCAGGATTCCCTTGCTCACTAACGTAAAAAAAGAAAATAACAAGGATAGCACTTCATTTTCTTAATTCATAGCTCAAAGACTTTGTACCACCCACTGAAAAAATCCAGATCCTTCTAATTTGCTTTTAGTACATTCCTGTCTTCACCCCATCTACCCTATACATGAACCATCTTTGCCCCATCCTAGAAATACTCTAAACTTATGTCCTTGTGGCCTCCAGAGGCCCACTTCCCCTATACAAAGCCACAAGCCCAGTTTGAGTCCTCCAAGTCAGGTTCCTGGTCCCCTGGGACTGTTCCCCCAAACTGTTAGGCAATTGGGGTGACATATTGTAAAGATCATGTAATTGACTACTGATCACTCCTTTTCACCCTCCCCACCTTCAGTTCCAGAAGGGGAGGTTTGAATACTTTCTCAACATCCTTCACAGGGCCTAAGCCTTGGCTAACATATGAAGATGCTTATATGGTTAGTCCATGGATGAAGAAATTATAAGATGTCTAAGATGGCATAATATCCAGGAGAATGAAAAAAAATAAACATTATCTATCAGGGACTTAAAAACATATAAACAGCAAAGAATGCTATACTCATGGTTTAGCTGTAACCAGTGGTGACACTGGGAAGTGGTGGAGCCTTTAAGCTATGGGACCTAGTGGAAATCAAGTCCTTCCAAGAACTACCCTTGAAAGAGATATCAGGACCCATCTCCTACACTCTCCTTCACTTCCTGGACACCATGAGGGGAGCAAATTTGCAGCCATTTATCTCTGGCCATGATACTTTGCTTCACCATAGGATCAGAACTGTGGAGTCAATTGACTATGGACTGAAACCTTTGAAACCATGAGCAGAGAACATGGTTCCTCCTTCTAAGTTGAGTTTTGTCAGGTAGTTTGTCACACTGAGGGGAAGCTTACTATCACTCTTTAGATGAACAGAGCTAAACTCTTAAAATATATATGGAAAATAATTATGATTTTTCTCTTTGGTGTTACATGATGGCAAGCAAGAAGGATTTCGGTATAGCTTTAGGCAGCAAGGTCATTTAAAGTTTCAACCTCTTCTAAGGTTTGGGCCACCCTGTATTGAGCTCGCAGGGTTTAGGGCAGACAGTTTGACTTTGTGTTGTGGATTTGTTTGGAAAGTTATAGGATGCTGAGTTCTTTTTTAATATTTTTCTGTTTGACATTTTTGGGGCATGAGCAGTGTTAGATTGAAGTCAGACTTTACAATTGCTAGGCAAGCATCCTAGCTCTTGAGCTATGTATCTAGCCTTTAGGATACTGAGTTTCGAGTCAGCAGTCTTTCATTGAAGCTTTGCTGTTTTGTCTCTTCCAAGAAGCTTTGCTTGACTTTTTTCAAGGCCAGCTTGGGAGGACCACTGCCCAGGGGAGATACTGACCATGCTTGATTGTAATTATTTGTTCATATACTGTTTTCCCCTTCATCCCCAGCTTGTGAGTCCTCTAAGGAAAGAATTTTTGCTGTAATTGCTGTTGTGGCCCCTGCCTCTGTAACAGGATAAAGGATAAGGGAGAATTCAACTTAAGAAACTCAGAAACAAATAAAGCACTAAGAAATCCTGTAAAAGACTGAAAAATGTGTGTATATGTGTGTGTGCGTGTGTGTTTATGTATGTGTGTGCACTCATATTTCTTATTCTTAAAAAATGAGAGTATCATTTCAATACACTTTCTGTGGCATATATAACCCAGTAATACAATGTATTCATGCCTGGATTACATAGGGATAATTGGCTACTATGTTTAAACTCGCTCATATAAGCATTTTTGCCTAAGTGCAGAATATGTTTGCTATTCTTTAGAAAAGTCAGTTCTTCATTAAAAAGCAAACAAATTTCTTGCAAGTATTACCTGCCATCTGTAGCAGCAGCTCATTTTAATAGCAATTTGGCTTTACAAAATCTACAATAGAGCTGCTAGGACTTTACAATTTGGAGAATTAGATTCAGATCCCAACACTCTTAAGAAACCACTTTCTATCTAAATAATAGCATTTAAAGCATCTTTCATAGAAAAAGAGCCCTAGTAAACACTACTAGATAAAAGAAGTTATCTATTTTAAATAAGACCAGCTAAGTACTAGATCAAAGGCGCCACATACATTTACAACCAAATAGCACTGCTTCAGAGATCAAAGTGCAGCTGGGCGGGCTGCAAACAGAAAGAGCACTTACCCAGGAAGCATGGAAAAATGACTAGGGGAGACCCAACCAATATCAAGATGTTAAAGTAGACACATGTCTTTACTTATTTTGTTCTTTGAATGCACAGGATCTTTCCGCACAATGAGGGAGAAAGTGTACTGATGAATAAGTACATAAAATAAAATAAATTCTGATCCATCAAAGTACTTTTTTTTGCCACTGCTCTTTACATTTTTGAAAGACAAGTACTTCAAAACGTCTATAATGTTAACCAGCCACTTTTCTCTAAATTCTGAAACTACAAATACAAGCCAGTCAATGCTGAATATTTTTTCTTTCAGGATTTTTTAAGAGAGTCTTTTGTCCCATAAGAACCTGTACTTGGCAAGAACTTAGTCCAACTGCAGCCTGTTTGATATATGTAAATCAGAGTGTAGTTTCTGTATAAGAAAAGTACTGTTGGAGTTTCCAACAAGCAGTGGGAAGCACTGTAAAATAAATAAATAAATAAAATATGGCAAGGGACAGAACATTTTTATTGTTGTCCATACTAGCCTGGTGGTCAAAGACATCAATAGGGAAGTGAGTGAAGTATGATGTTATTTCAAAGCAACTTCCTTCTGGAATAGACTTCCCAGGTTGTATGGTTTACTCTTGCTTTTTTCAGCCAAACCCCATCATAAATACAGATTTGTAATGTGTGCCTTGTCTGCTAACCATTCTTACTTGTAATACAGAGACAACTTCTATCCTTTGCACTTCGTGAAAGTGCAGAGCTGGAATATTAATGGTTGAGATTTTACCAAAATCAGCTGTGGATTTCTTTAGCATGTGGAACCACATGCTTGCCAAGTGGCCAACAGACCCCACTCAGACATTTGTCTTGATGCTCAGATGCCTTTCATTTGCCGGTAGATTATAAACCATTATACTCATTTCAAAGACTCCTAAAATTAAAAAGAAGAGTGACTGTGGCCTTGCTTAGGGAAGCTATTTAAAGGCAATGGTAGCAAGTTTGCAAGATGGCCCCAGTGATTCCTCCCTCTCGGAATGCATACCTTTTGTAGTCCTTTCCACACAGCACTAGGGGTAATATCATGTCACTTCTGAAATTAGATTACTTCCATCTTGGTGTTGCTGCTTACTATTGCTCTTTGATTATCTGCTTGAGGAAAAGACAGCTGCCATGTTTTGAGCAGCTTTATGGAAAGACACCCATGATAGCAAGAAACAAAAGTCTTTTCCACCACAAACCACCCAAGGAACAGTGGAGCTGATCCTCCAGAGTGACACACGCTTTTAGATGACAACATTTCAACCTCACAGCAATGCCAAATGTCAGCTTGACTGCAATTTTCAGGAAAGCAGAACTACCCAGCTAAAATGCTTCTAGGTTCCCACTGCTCATGGATTGTATGAGACAGTAAATGTTTGTAGGATTTGAGGCCAGTTGTTGTTCAGTAATATATAACCACTGCAAAGTTTTTACTGCAGGTAATTAGGAATTCCCTTAGCATACACTCTTGAGAAAAAGCTCAATAATCCTAAG